TCCATGAGCTTCCTTTTTTCCTGCCTGCCCTATGCATTAAAACCATTTCCAGGCAGGCAGGCCCTCGCTTATTATTAGCTTTCACAGTGTGGGTGTCCGCGTGTGTGTGTGTGTGTGTCTGTGTGTGTGTGTGTGTCCATACAAAATACTTTGCACATTTTTATGACTGTGACAGTGCGACCAGAGCACCCACTCCTGGACTCTCCCGCCAGCCAGCCATGACCAGGGCCCTCTCTTGGTTTTCCCATTTTCCCATTATGTCACACCCCCACCCCCTCCCCTCCACCCCCACCCCCCACACTCACACTAAGAGGAAACCCAAACAATTTTCCCAAGAGTTTATGAGCGTGAAAAAATTTTTACTGGTTAGAGCTTGAAAAAGCGCAAGAATTTTTTTTTTTCCATCACTTTTTTGTTGCAAAATAAAGTCGCCATTTTTATGCAAAGAGAGAGAAAAAAAAAATAGTAATTAAAAATTGTTGCCTCAGAGCAAGAGTCAAGCATTTTCATTGGGGGGGGGAAAATCTTTAAAGCCAAAAGCAGGAGGAAAGGATTTAAGCATTCAAATGTCTCTCTTCAAATGGTTTTCCTGTTTTAAATACTTTTCTATATTCTCCAATAAGGTGGCACGTTTTGCCTATGAAAAATAACCAAACAAAAAGTCACAAAAATATGAGGCATTGGATTTATTTTGTTTTATCATTCGTTTCAGTTCATTTACTTCCGAAATCACAAAACTCGTTACCCAAAAAGATGGAGTCCAAGACTCATTTTGTGTTTGTGGTTTGGATTTTTGGGTGTTTCCTTTCGCATTAGGGGGGAGCATTCCCCCGCATCCTCCCATCCAAGACCAAGACCATATTCCCATCCTCCAGACCAAGACCATTCACCCATCCTCCCAGACCAGGACCAGGACCATTCACCGCATCCTCATCAGTTGCGCTTCATTGTGTTTTATTTGCTGGCGCTGTTATCGCATGTTAACACTTCATGTGAAATCCTAGTCCGCCAGTCACAGTCCTGATGTCCTTCCTCATCATCATTGGAATGACCTTTGTATACACATATATACATATATATATACATATATCTGTATCTGTATGTATCGCAAAGACCACGCTTAGTTAGTTTTTGCCACACGCTTTGCGTGCAAAATGTCAAAATATATTTTACTCGAATTTATGGTGGAGCCAGAGCCACGGCCAGCACTAGAGGAGCTCCTTTTTCGTCTATGCATGTGGGATTTGTGCCTTGTCTTTGGCTATTTTTAGGGATTTACACGCTTATCACCCACACACACACACACACACACTCAGGCACAGACACTCGAGAGTTCTGGCCAAAATGAAAATATTATGCTACATTTCATTAAAGGAGACCCACGACAGACCTCATCCCGAGCTTCGTTGAATGTTTTACAGCCACTTAAAATAGATTAGCTTTCAACGTTTCGGGTTCTCGACAAAAAACGTGGGACCCAAAACAAGAAGGAAAGAAAGCAAAATTTTAGATACACTTTGAAAGGCTTGAGGCAGAAGATTTCAATCAAGTTTTGTCCACAAATGATGGATTTTTTGTAGGAATTTCTATAGAAAAAACTACTATTTAATTCTTGTATTCTGCAGGGGGTTCCCTTAAATATCTCTTAAATTAAGGAACTAATTTTTGCCTTTCTGCCTTTCAAACATCCATAAAATCTCTCAATACCCACCGAAAGTGTATACAAATAGACAGCGAAAGAACAGCAAATAATATATGACAAGACCATAGCTCTTGTGGGTCCTTTGGAGGGGGGAAAGGAACTCTCTGGCTCTTTAATGGAAAATCCATTGAAAACATAAGCAACTGTCGAATGATTTAAGGCTTGAAATCACAAATAGTTAGGCGTGACAGGTCGCCAAAATGGCAACAGTTCAAAAACCCCCAAGACCCCACGCCGCCAGCTGACAATTTGATAAATGAAATGACAAAACATTTCAACGCCCAGCCACACATTTCATCAGTGTCCAATCCCCAAGGAAATGCGGAAAATATCAATGGGATGCGGAAATTACTGGTGGCAGGCCATCATAAAAGAGAGAGGGAGAGAGGGAAATCCATCTTCAATCAGAGAAGAGGGGGGGAGGACGTGTGAGTCCCAAAGCGATTAAGAGCTCGAAAGCGAAAGAAGAGGTCCTCTCAATTGGGATCTCGTTTCAGTTGATGGCCAATCCCAAAGCCGTAGCCCTGGCCTGGCCCATATTTCATTTCATTCGTCTTCAGGCTGCCTTCTTTTAGAGGGACCCCTCCCCGCCCTGCCCCCAACAAAAGGCCAAACTAAATATGCTCTTTCACTCCATGTGGCCCCATCAGGACAATCTGTGTCCTGCTGTTACGTCTGCCCCTATTTATTGTGCCTCCACACACAGAAAAAAAGGGCACAAAAATATTAGCTGCCTCTCAATCGTTCAACTAGGCAAAGACCCTCCAAAGACCTCCAAAGGGGGGCACAAAAAATGGTTTGTTTATGCAAATTTTCAATGGTTTTTGCTCTTCAAAAAAAAGATGAACGAGAGCGCCTTTTTCTTTTGCTTTTAAGCGAATTGCCTGTGAAACGGAGTTGGCAGTGGAGTTGACAGCCTATTTATGAGAGGCAGGGAGAACTATGAGATAGAGGCCAGTAATTGAAATGATTCCACGATTCAGTGGAGCTTCTTTCGAGTGGAAAATCCTTCAGGTAAGCAGCCAATGAAATATCTATACCGCCTGCCATGGACACACGGAAATTCTGGCATCCCAAAAATATCATAAGTTATGCATTTTCATTGGGAAATTTTACTGGCATTTACCCTGGAATTTTCAGCTACATATTTGTTTAAAGCGATAATCAAATGCAGAACGCCAGCCTCATTTATCACCTGTACGAGTATGTGTATGTGGGTGTGTGTGTGTGCTAGCCAGTGTTGGGTAATTTTGTATATTTCCGGACTCGAGCGGCAAAGGCTTGAAGCCTCTTTGTTTGTGTACAGAATGGAATTCTGAATAGCCAGGCTCTTTTTTCCCCACTCCCACTCTGTATCGGTAGCTGTCTGTGTGAGTATCCTGTCTGGCTGTCTTTGTATTTGTGTGTTTTTTCGTCGACCAGTTGACCATTAGAATGGCCGGCCACAGGCAGGACAGGTCCTGTGCCATCATCAAAAGCGGATGCCCCTTAACATTTATAACTGCCCGCAATGACAGCATTCTGCAAAACCATTAAATGCAGCTGAATGTTGCCTCTTGACTGTACTTTTTCGGTGCCTTAAATAGATGGCAATATTTGCAAAGAGCCCACTCCACAATGACTTCTCTGCCACAGTAAATATTGTAATAACAAATACAGTTTTATGATTCTGATGAATGATGAGAGATGAAAATATTGTGGTCGACAGTCAAGTAGGGGTTTTATGGTTTTGCTAAAGTTATTCCACAGTTAAAGGGTCATTTATGAAGTAGTTCTACAACTATCATAAAAAGTGCATGCTGTAATAATTCTGGAGATTTTGATAGCTAAAAGTCTCGGTTTTAATGGTGGAATACCATAAGAGATACCATAAATATTTCAGAGAGTGTGGAATGGGTTTAGTGATAGAGTTCTTTAGGTATATACAGCTTTATTGTTGAATTTACTTATAAATCACACTAAAAGGCTAAAATATAGTTTTAAAAGATACTTGTGAAAGGTCTCCTTCCCTTACCCTACGGGGATCTATTAGGTATTTTTCGTCTTCCTACCATTATCCACTTATCCACCATTTTTTAACGGTATTTTAGTATTTTTATATAAGAAATATCCCATATAAAATGTAAACATAGTCAACTAAGCTTTAATAGAGCCAAATATTAAAAATTCCGCTCATCCGAAAGCGCTGATTGGTGCTATAGAAGCTCAAAATCAAACATGAGTCAAATGGTTTGTGTTGCACTTTGGGAAAAGAGCAACTACTTAAAAGATCCAGGATCCAGATAGAAACCTGAAGTCCTGAAGTCCTTTCGCACATGCAAATCATGCTTCCAAATGCCATCGTTTGGAGGGAAATGGTTTGTCGGCTGAGCAAGTATAAAATATATGAAATTAGTAGGAAATATAATCTATAGATGAAAATATTTAATTGAAATATGAAATACATTTATTTTAAACACGAAAAATATTTAAATGACAGGGAAAACGACTTTATTTTTACAATGTCCACTGCCGGATTAAATTATTAAAATTTCAGTGGGTTTAATTGGCTCCTCGTCGAATGCCCATAACTTTCTAGTACTGAAAGTTGGCACAAATACGCAATACAGAGTAAATATTGGCATTAAACTTTGCGCACTCGGCTCTTAGCTGTTTCATATACGATATACATATATCTACACAGATCCTTGACTAATTGCCCCAGACGCAGCGAAACGATTCGATTTGCCTGAAAACTTTCAAGTCTTGGGCCAAAGTTTTGCCTGGCAGACACATTCACACATTGCCCCATGCCGGGTCTGCAAATAACTTTAAGGCTGTGGCAGCCACTGTTGCTGCTCCTTCTGCTGGGATGTGCCGCCTATGCTGCCCCTCAGATCCAGTTCATATCCAGGACTCGTGCGGCAGCCTGCGGAGAGAACGAGGAGATGTCCTGCCTGCCCTGCCAGCAGCCCAGCTGCACAGTGCCCAACTATGATACGGACTGCTCCAAGGACTTTATCTGCCAGCTGGGATGCGGCTGCAAGTCTGGATATGTGCGGCACGATCACACAGATCGCTGTGTGTCCATCTACGAATGCAAGAACTTTAAGTGGATCTCACAAGACCCCATCAGGGCAAGGCGACTCGTGGCTCTGAAGCGTAAACTTCGTGTCGGCAGCTGGGGACGGGGCCGACCCCTCCGCCAGTTTCCTGAATATAGAAAACTGTGAAATTGTAGTTTTATTTCTAATTTGCTTGGCATTTCGATATGGTATAACCAGTTGCCAGCGAAGCGTTAACCATGTCAGCCGTCTTTCAGTTTTCACTCTTTTCGATTCTCTTGATTTCGATGTGCATTTGGAGCTCGTTGATCGCCAGCCTCTGGGCGGAGGAAATCGATTATGCAGAGCTAAAGGAGAAAACCAGTAAGTGCAGCGCCCATATGGAACTTTAATTGTATCATTTTATGTGGTCTTCCCTGTAGTTTGCATTGACGATGGCATGGGCCACATGATGTGCTACTAGGCTTCGGAATTAATTGAAAATTTGTATGTCCTAAATAAGTAATAAACGGAATTGGGGTACTGCTTTCACAATCTCTGGGCTCTTCCATTTTATGACGCCACACGAAATTGTATCTTGGGAATTCTTTTTTCCGCAAACGAAAGTTTTATTGTTGATTTTCGCTGTACTCGAAATTTACGACGTCCCGACCCCAGTCTTGGGAGTACCTTCTTCGTGCTTCTGTGGATGGAGTTCATAAGGCATACAATCTCAAATCTGTGCACACTGACCACATAAATATTAATTTAGTCGCTGTTACTTGCGGGTGTTTTACTTTCGGTTTATTCCCGTAACATTTGTCATTTTGTTTGCCTGCACTTTGGTTTTATGAATGGAAATTACGGCTCTCTGCTTTCAGGTTTTTTTTATTGGCAGGTTTTGTTTACGTTTCACTTAAATGAGTTTTTTGTGGTTCCTTTTTTTATGGATTGTCAGGTTTAGGGATGGGCGTAAACTGTTTGTAGGGTGACTAAATGGAACTCTATTCTACCCCAAAGAACACCCTCGGTTGGAGATATATTTCCCCTCCTCTCTCCCCAGAGCAGACAATTGTTTTAAGCTTAATCCAACAGTCAATGAAATTCACATACACATCCGTTTATTCCACTAAATTAGTTAATTTCCCATTAAAATTTATATTCACATCTCCCCCTGGAACCCCCTTTATGTTTAATTCAGTGAATATTTGTGCAGCTTCATCAATTATTTGCATATTTTATGAATTTCCATCAAATGCGAAACCCGTCTGTCTCCGCCCGCCCCCAAAAGTATGCAGCACATTTTTACATTTCCGCTTTAGCAAAATCAAATTTTAATACTTCCGGCGCGCCGGAGGCTTTCCCCTGCGCCCATGTGCGCCCATAAATATCTAACGAATTTAGCACAAAATAATGATTATTATTATTATATTATTACAGCACAATGGCCACACGCTGACCAGCCGCAGCGGCGGCATGAAAAGCAATTAAATTGCCGGCAAAGTGCTCTCTTACACATACACTCTTACAAATTGTTGTTATATATATTTTTTTATTGTTGCCATCTGCTCGCCATTTGGGAGCTTCATTTTAGTTGCAGTGCCGCCGCTGAAGCAACGAAAATAAAATTAAATTACCCATTAGTGGGTGGATTTTCGTCTCATAATTTTTTGTTCTTTTTTTTTGCCACACACCAAATTGTATTTAATGCGTGTGTTTACGTGCACCATATAAATTTATTATGTTTTAATTTATTGTCGCTCTCCCTCTGTCCCCCTCTCCGTTTGTCTCTTTTGTGGAAAAGTACTGTACTTTTTAAAGCCCCATTTAGAGCACTTAAAGTGCCACCTAACTGACTTAAGAACAGAACACTAAACAACTTGACAACAATATATATCAGAAACAAATAAATCGAACTTGCCCCCGGGTGCCACTAAGGGGATTAAGGTAAAGAGCTTCGGGACAGGACGGGACAGGACAGCACAGGATACGGCTGTGCCAGCGAGATTTTTCTTACACTTTTTTTTTTCTCTGCTGATAATCGAATTGGTTCGCTGTTGTGGCTTCTCTCTGGCCGCCTGGACACAATAAATTCAAAACTTTTGCACTCCCTTCTGGTCTGGTGCAGCTCTTTGGGGCCTTACACTGAGAGAAAAGGATGAAGAATAAGCCAGGCCAAGGACTTTCTTTGCTTTAATTTCCGGTGTAATGTCTTTAATGTAATTTTAAAGCCTTGTTTGAGATCTAATTTATTTCCAAGTTGGAAAAAATCTCAAAAACTCAGTGTAACATTTTTTCATTTCTCGTTTTTCTGGCCATTTAAATGGCAAACTTTTATGGAAACAAGCTTACACGCATTTCTGCACACCCCACACACAGGGACGGGCACACGCACAAGTTGTCGGTCCAAAAAGACTTCAAGATAAGAGTGGGGAGGGTTGGGGTGTGGTGGGGGTTTTCATGGCAACCCCCCTGGTGTCCTTAATTTCTTATGGCCAACAACCATTCCGCCCGCCTGCCAATTGTTTAATGAGCTGAGTTTCTGCCTGAGTTTTCTGTCCTGTTCTGTCCTGTTCTGTTTCGGTTCTCCTGCTCCTTCCTGCTCCTCTCGTTGCGTGTTTTGCTCATTTGGTCTTCGGCTAAGCAGCGGAAATTGTCAGATAAGAGAAAATTCTCACAAAAAGTTGCTCATTTTAATCGAGAAACTTTTTGTCTAGTTTGATTGCTCAGAGAACAGAAACTATATGTATTCGAGAGAGCCGCCTTGCTGACTTGCGGACAGCTGAGGTCTTGTTTTATCTTTTCATTGACGCTCGGTTGTCAGGAAAATTCATAAATAATGATAACACCATCCACAGGAAAATGTTGCTGTGCCCCATGGCCCCTGGCCCTGGCCTGGCCTGGCCTGGCCTGGGGAAACTTATTCTAATTAGAAAGTTATGCGTGGCCGCAGCACAAGTTTTGTGTATTGGCAATTTTTGAATATTTCTGCGGGGGCCGCCGCCCCATCACAAAATAAACACAGCTGCTGGTAATGCCAGAAACTTATAAGACAGGCAGGGCAGATGTTGGAGGATTTTCTAGCGGTTTAGAAAAGTTAACAAAAGATGACAGAACTATCCGTGAATGTTTTCCCAATAAAATATCCTTTCATAACCTATCCCTTAACTGAACTTCTTCAGCAGCGTTTGTTGCAATCACTTTATTGAAAAGGCGTGGTTTTTCGGTTCAACATACGAGGATGGTGTGATAAGTACTTGGCGCCAGTATCGACAAATAGATTTACTATCGTATAGTTCATTCTTTCGGACGGTTACTGGTGAAATTTCAGCCGAATCGGACTCCAAGGTCCAAGGTCTGCAAAGTAGGCATCCGCGGCGGCGATGACCTCCTCATTCGAGTCGAATTTCTGTCCGGCGAGTGACTTTTTCACTATAAATAAATAAAAATAAATATTTTAAAATATTGGAAATACAAATTAGTCAATTTGGAGTATACGGTGGATGTGGCACCAGTGCCAAAGGGTGTCAAAGTGGAAAAAAGAAGTGGCCCTTTTTTCTTCGCCAAATGAGACGTTTTTTTCTGCAACTCGGCGTCGAATCGGTCCAATAGTTCGGTACAGTAGAGCCATCGTGTGATCGTTTTGCCCGTCTCCAAGTAGTCGATGTAGATCACACCTTGTCGTTGTGGCCATCACCTTTCCGGCCGATAAGACAGTCTTTGCCTTCTTCGGAGCACGTTCGCCGGAGAAAGTCCACTGTTTCGACTGTTCCTTAGTTTCTGGTCACAAAACTACGCAGAAACTCCTCCGGAAGTGCTCTGAAGTGGTCTCACGGTTGAATTTCTTGTCCGTATATGGTTTATTGCCATGGTTTATAGCATATCGAAGCGATAGAGTCATTAGCGATAGAGCACAAGATCGATTCAAGCCTGTATTCGAAGGCGATAGACGAGCTGCAAGAAGTGATTGATCAAGACTGAAATTAAGGGCAGGCATTGCTTGTGCCCTAATGCAAGCGAGGCTTCGACAAGAGCGCGACAGATCCAGAGACCGAGAGCGAAAGCGGGGGCGAGAGTGGAGCGAGAGCGAGAGCGGGAGCGAGTGCGAAGAAAAAAAAGAAAGACGCGAAATGAAGACAAGAAAGAGCGGCTGCCGTCGGCGAGAATATATGTAAATATACATAAGTACATACATACATACATATGTATGTATGCGGATGACAAAGTGGGCAACGCAAATAACAAACAATGTGAGATTTTACTCTACTGCTGCACCACTGGCTATAATCAAGGGATCAATTTTGAATTATTGAGCTGCTTAACGCAGCAGAGATCTTGGGAATTAATGAAACTAGAAACAATGAAACTAGAATCACTTTAAGAATCACTAGTTGGACTTTAAGCAGAACAACCATATATTCCAGTCAGACAAGTGGGAAAAATACTTTCCAGTTGGCTTTCCCTCTAGACAATATCCGGATAGTTTTTCCGTTTACCACAAGCCAATTTCCCTGCTTTTAAATTGAGTGGCCAGCCGAAAAGATGCCTGCCCTTTAATTGAGCTGCCAGCCGAAAAGTATGCTACAAGATTAATCAACTTTCTTATGCAAGGAACTACCCCCCACAACAGAAATCTCCATTACCTCCTCTGCTCTGCTCTGCTCTGGCATATTTATGGCCAGTTAATATTGAAATTCTTCAACTTAATTGTTGTGAGTGCAGTGAAAGGGGGATAAAAGCTGGTTCTCGATATTAATAAGCGTTGAGTACGTGCGTGCCATAAATAAAAGTGCACATTCCGACGGGTAAATAGAGTGAGACACGGCGTAAAAAAAAACAAGAAGCAACCTGGCGAGAGATGAGATGAGATGATGGGGAAAATGGCGATAAATGGAGGAGTTTTCCAGTAGTTGGCGCTGCCGCCCACCTGTGTCGTGTGCAAAAATATGCATTTAATCCCGATGTGCATTTAATTAATGCTGAACGTAAATACTCTCCCACAAAAAGGGAGAGAGGCTTGGCTTGGCCCTTTTTTTTGTGTTGTAAATTTGCAGCCAATAAATTCAATTTAAGGCCCAACGGTGACAGCGAAAATGAAAAATTCAATTACATTCACACCACTCAGGGGATCATTACGATGCAATGCCCTTCAGATCTCAGGAAGGGTATATCTGATGGATTGCAGCATGTATTCCATTGATTGAACGCCTGACAGTACAGGGCATATCCAAAGTCGACCAACCATTGCCTGGCATCCACTTTAATGTTTGCTCTTTGCTCTCTCTCTTTGTAACCGCAGGTATGCGCCCTATCCAAACGCGCCGTGATACTCCAGTCCTCGGATATCCTTGCCTATAATGAGCTCCCACTCCATCAGGCCAATAGCATTACCAACAACAACAACAATGCCAACAGCAACAATTTGGGAGCGCTGGGCGGCATTACGGCCATGGCCTCGAGGGCATCTGCATCCGCACCGCAGAACATCATCGCCAATGCCGGACTGAGCTACGAGGATGTGCTCAACGATGATTTCCAGTTCGATATGGATGGCCACGATGTGATGGTCTTTCTGCACATCCAGAAAACGGGCGGCACCTCCTTTGGCCGCCATTTGGTCAGGGACTTGGACCTAAAAGTGAGTCTGAAAGCCTCTAATCTGTGGCCCCTCTTCCATTAACCCTATTTTCTCGTGTCCCGTAGCGGCCCTGCGAGTGTCAGCGACAGAGAAAACGCTGCTATTGCTTCCGGCCGCATCGGAACGAGAACTGGCTCTTCTCGCGCTACTCCACGGGCTGGAAGTGCGGCCTCCACGCCGACTGGACCGAGCTGACGAGCTGCGTGGACGTGGAGCTGGACAAGAACGAGGGCGAGACGGCCAAGCGTCGGTACTTTTACATATCGCTGCTCCGTGAGCCCATCTCCCGCTACATGTCCGAGTACCGCCATGTGCGGCGCGGCGCCACCTGGAAGGGATCGCGCCACTGGTGCCTGGGGCGACAGGCCTCCGCCGCTGAGCTGCCAGCCTGCTACAAGGGCAAGGACTGGCTGGACGTCGATCTCGATCAGTTTGCCGGCTGCGAGTCGAATCTGGCGGCCAATCGGCAGACCCGCATGCTCGCGGATCTGGCCCTGGTCGGCTGCTACAACAAGTCCTCGATGCCAGCCCACGAACGGGATCGGGTGATGCTGGCCAGCGCCAAGCGCAATTTGGCTGCCATGGCCTATTTTGGACTGACTGAATATCAAAAGGTTGCCCTATCACACGCAGATCTCTGAGCCGAAGTTTAACGTTGAATGTACTCTCCCTTTCCAGATGTCCCAATATATATTTGAGGAGACCTTTAACCTGCGCTTTGCCATACCCTTTGAGCAGCACAACACTACCATTTCGGCGACAGCCGTATCCAATCTGCGAGCGGACCAGAAGCGTCGCATCGAGAAGCTCAACGGCCTGGACATAGAGCTGTATGTCTTTGCCAAGAATTTGCTGTTTCAACGGTGAGTGCCATAAATCAGAGGGGATCTTTCACAAGATAATTGGCTTATGTGCCGCTAGTATATCCTATGTCCTTCTCCATCTGTAGTCTGTAGTCTGTAGTCGTAGTTACAACACGTTTTTCTGGTCATGAAACCTGAACAGCAGAACATCAGTCCGGTTCTTTCTGCGCATCGGGATGTCGGAGCGTCTGGGCCGTAGGTCGATGACTCAGACTCCTTTTGTATCCCAAGAGGGTGCCAGGAGAACCCTTTGACATGGACGGGGCCCAGGCCCTATGGGTCTTTGCCTTTGTGTTGACATCGGTTCAGCCAAAGGTTAGGGAAATTGAATGGATCCCATGGTGGTGCCATCATTAGATCGCATTACTTTTTAGCGGCATTGCCATGAACATCGGTTATGCACGAGCAGGCCTGGGAAAATGATCTTGCAGAAGGTAGCAACACCTTCTTCAATAAAGGGAAAATCATCATTAGGCCAGAACATCATTTATATTACTTTTGGGTCTTTTGTTCAAAGACCGTATTATTGTAAAAGTGTTTTGGGTTTCAGGAAGAAGTTCCAGAACTTTAATTCTGTTTTATTCCAAGTTTAAGCAAAGTCTATCAAAATCCCCTTAGGGATGGATCCTGACTTCCTCTCGTCCGTCTCCTGCACAGCTGTGTGTGTGTATGTTTGTGTCCCACCCAGAATTCTATGCTTCCTTGATTTGGAACCCTAGAATTATCACCTTTCTGTTGCTGGAATATTCCATTGTTGGGCATTAAAGAAACAACCAGCTGAGCAGTTGGCAGTTGAGGGAAAAAGGGACGGGGACACGCCGCCTGCTTGCCACAGGATCAGCAGGATGTCATAGATGGGATCGGTGCTCGATTAGCTAACTCCCTCGCGTGATCAAGGCAAATCAATTTGCCTCTGAAGCTCTCTGGCTCTCTGTCTCATGAATTTTCCACGCAATTCAATTCCATTCAATGCGCATGGGCGCACGGCCCGCCCATTTCCCTCGTCACATTTACGCATTTTCCTTCCAATTATGCGGGCATCGGATTTCGTATCAAATTAACAAATTTATGCTGGCTGCCAGCTGTATGTAGTTCTGGCGTTGGAGCTAACGGCCATCAAGCCATAGACCAATCCTCGCTACTCCAGTATATATCCTGCAGGATCAGACAGATGGGAGTGCGAGTGCGAGTGCCTCTTCTTGCCAGACAGCGGCGGCGCACACATTTCCTATATACACTCCTGCAGGAGTAAGGGAATGCGGAACCCCTGAACTCTCGTATCTGCTGCCCCTGCCTCTGCCTTATATATATATTTACCCCCACCCGTACCCCCTGTGAACCCTCCTTGTCTTTGGACTACAATTGCAACATTTGCGCGCGCTAAAAGTAAAAAAAAAAACTACCATATTCTATAGTTCACAAATGCGATGCCGACGTCTTGACAAACACATAGATAAGGACTGCGGCGCGGCGTCTAAGGATAAGGAATTGTGGCACGAACCACCACCAAAACAAGCAGAGCGTAATAAATCTTTGGCAGGAGCCACAACGACTATGGAATACTCTTGAAAGTGCGCTGTGATATCAAGGGGAACAGGGAACGGGGTATAATATATGTATCTATAAACGGGCAAGCCACCTACGGGAGTGCGCTTAGCTTCTGAGTAAAATATGGGACAACGACGACGACCCAAAACTTTTTTATATAGTAGGGAGTTGATCTAAAACTATCACTGTTCTTGAAGGGAATTCTTTAGGGGATGATTAATAATTGTAATTATTTTTTTATCTCTCAAAGAAGAAAGACTAAACTGTTGGAATAAATACAGAATTATTTATCAGTAATATAAATAATTGTATCTATAAATCCTTACTCCTAGAAAAGGTTTAATTTCTATCGGAATTAATACAGAATTATTTATCTTTAATATAAATCATTTGGTCTAGAAATCCTTACTCCTAGAAAAAGTATAAATCTGTGATATTCTATAACAATATCACCTGACAATTTGTTCTCTGTATAAAGATCTATACAGAATAGCCGGCTATCTACCATTAAATATATATTGAATGAAATCCGGATAACTAAGGGCCATATGGCCTATGCGTGGACCCGCTGAGGGCCGTCCGGGTTAACATAACCTAAATTAAATATTCGATGTGTATGAAAACAATACATCTATGCACTAGAATCAGCTATCATACCTTTACTATCATAAAAAGGGCAGTACTGTTATTCTGTTCATAGATTTATCATACACGCACTGCTCATTTCTCCAGCCACCAAACTTCCTAAGAAACACGGAGATACCCCACCTGGCATAGGGTATACCAAAGCCACAGAGGTGAGAGACAACGACAAATGCACTGCAGGAACAACAACAAAGAAGGATCACTTCCACGACGCGACACGACGCGACACGACGACGACCCTTTGCCCGTTCCGATTGTCGGGGGTTGTTCTTCGGTACCAATACCTCTGTGCATTTCTCCCCCTCCTCGCCGTCGGCCCTGCCTCGGCTCGCTTCGCGGGGTCTGCCTCTGCGCCGGCGCAACGACAGGGAATTCAGATAGGTTTTGACAGCGGAACGCGTAGGTACAGACATTGAGAGAGTGAGAGCAACGGGTAGAAACGGGAAAGCGGGATATTATTGTAGTGTAGAGAACAGACCACGAATTACAGAGAACAGGAAACAGAAAACACTCAAAATTGAAACGGACAGATTTGTTAAACAGAAATTAAAAGTTAAAGTTGTGTTTATGTTTGATTATTGAGTTTTTGTTATTGCTAAAAGTTAAACGAAAGTTATTTATGAGACGTTAAGCAAAAACAAACCAAAAAAAACAAAAGAGAATCGTGCAAAGCCATAACAAAGTTAGGCAAAAGACAGCAGCCAGAATGTCCTTCTCCAAGGCCAAGTTGAAGCGTTTCAATGATGTGGATGTGGCCCTGTGCGCCTCGCCAGCTGCCTCCAACAGCTCTGCCGGTTCCACGGGCAGTGCCACGCCCACAACAGCTGCTGCGGCCGCCGCAGCCGCCACTGTGGCGGCCAATCCGGCACCCGTGCAGCCGGAGCGCAAGGAGCAGATCGAAAAGTTCTTCAAGGATGCGGTGCGCTTTGCCTCCAGCTCGAAGGAGGCCAAGGAGTTTGCCATTCCCAAGGAGGACAAAAAGTCCAAGGGTCTGCGTCTGTTCAGGACCCCATCGTTGCCGCAGCGTCTGCGCTTCCGTCCGGCGCCCAGCCACACGGAGGCACCCGCCAGCGGAGCCTCCACGGCGGCCTCCACGCCCCTGCACTCGGCCACCACGACGCCCGTGAAGGAGGCCAAGTCCGCCAATCGGCTGAAGGGCAAGGAGGCTCTGCAGCAGGAGATCCGTCACAAGAACGAGCTGATCGAGAGCCAGTTGAGCCAGCTGGATGTGCTGCGCCGTCACGTGGAGCAGCTGAAGGAGGCGGAGGTGAAGCTGAGGGAGGAGCACGAGCAGGCGGTGGCCAAGACGGAGCAGCTGATCGAGGCCCTGTCCAGCGAGAACCACTCGCACAAGGAGCGCAACGAGCAGCTGAGCCTGGAGCACACCCAGCTGGTGGAACGCCTGGCCGCCATGGAGCTGGCCCTGCACCAGCAGCGGGAGGAGCACGAGCGCCATGTGGACACGCTGATCGCCGAGAGCGAGGCCCTGCGGCTGGCCAACGAGCAGCTGCAGCAGACCAGCGAGGATCAGATGGTCGAGCAGAACCTGCTGAATGTCCAGCTGAGTGCCCTGCAGGCGGATGTGGCCCTGGCCAAGGAGCGGTGCAGCAAGGAGCAGCAGAAGACGGCCCAGAACATCGAGTTGATCGAGAATCTGCAGAAGAACAATGCCTCCCTGCTGGCCGACGTGACACAGCTGAAGGAGCAGATCGAGCTGGATGCCCTGGCCTATGCCCAGGAGGCCAAGAGCAGCCACTCCGAGCAGGAGTGCCTCCGTGTGGAGCGCAACACTCTGAAGAACGATCTGGCCAACAAGTGCACCCTGATCCGCTCCCTGCAGGACGAGCTGCTGGACAAGAACTGCGAGATCGATGCCCACTGCGACACCATTCGGCAGCTGTGCCGCGAGCAGGCCCGCCAGACGGAGCAACAGCAGGCGGTGGCCAAGGTGCAGCAGCAGGTGGAGAACGACATGGAGAGCGCCGTCGAGCGGGAGAAGAGCTACTGGCGGGCGGAGCTGGACAAGCGCCAGAAGCTAGCCGAGAACGAGCTGATCAAGATCGAGCTGGAGAAGCAGGACGTGATGGTCCTGCTGGAGACCACCAACGACATGTTGCGGCAGCGCGACGAGAAGCTGCAGAAGTGCGAGGAGCAGCTGCGCAACGGCATCGACTACTACATCCAGCTGAGCGACGCACTGCAGCAGCAGCTGGTCCAGCTGAAGCAGGACATGGCCAAGACCATCACCGAGAAGTACAACTACCAGCTGACGCTGACCAACACCCGGTCCACGGTGAACATCCTGATGGAGCGGCTCAAGAAGTCCGATGCCGATGTGGAGCAGTTCAAGGCGGAGCTGGAGTCCGTGCAGCTGGCCAAGGGCGCCCTCGAGCAGAGCTACCTGGGCCTGCAGGCCGATGCGGAGCAGCTGCGCCAGCAGCTGACCGAATCCCAGGAGGCGCTGAATGCCCTGCGGTCCTCGTCGCAGACGCTGCAGAGCGAGGTATCGTTGAAGGAGTCGATGCTCCATGAGCTGCTTGCCGGCGAGGCGGAGACCCTGGCCAAATTCAATAAGATTGCTAACTCGTTCCAGGAGCGTATCGACGGCGACGCTCAGATGGCCCACTACTACGAGCTGCAGCGCAAGGACGAGACCCGCGAGGCCTACATGGCGGACATGAAGAAGGCCCTGGACGAGTTCGCCACCGTCCTGCAGTTCGCCCAACTGGAGCTCGACAACAAGGAGCAGATGCTCGTGAAAGTGCGCGAGGAGTGCGAGCAGCTGAAGCTCGAGAACATTGCCCTCAAGTCGAAGCAGCCGGCATCCGTGTCGATGCTCACGACGCCCAGCAAGGCCAACAAGCCGAACACCACCGATCTGGAGAAGATCGAGGATCTGCTCATCGACTCGGAGCTGCGGGCCGAGTGCGACAAAATCACCTCGTGGCTGCTCAACTCCTCGGAGAAGTGTGTGCGCCAGGACAGCAGCAACGAGATCAGCGAGCTGCTCTCCTGCAAGTCCTCGCCACGCCCACAGCGCACGCCCAAGGTGGCCACGCCGCACAGTCCGCGCACCCCACGCACCCCACGCACACCACGCACCCCCCGATCCGCGGCCGGCACTCCCAAGAAGACAGTGCTGTTCCCCGGCAAGGAGAACGTGCCCAGTCCGCCCCAGAAGCAGGTGCTCAAGGCACGAAACATCTAGGCTATCCATCCCCTCCTCACCTTCTACCCCTACATTCTATATATCCTATATACGAGTACTATTTCTATTATAAATTATACGTTAGCTAAGATCTGATTCAAAATACATAAACATCGTTGCATACAACACAAGAACGAGTTCTTTTCCTTCTTTGATTTTGCTGCGTGATGGCATTTTCCCAGGCCGGAAGTAGGCCTGAAGGATGGGGCGGGGGGGGTTGAAGATGAACCACCCGGATCGACCAGTTGGATAACCATCTTGCGACGCTGATTGCGCACACGTGAGACTTGTGCGCGCGGTGCCAGTCCTGTTCACTCGATGGGAACCCCCGACAGGCGCGCTCACCTCCTCAGGCGGAACGAGGAAACGACGCAACGAAATGTGCAGCTGCGCCTGCGCCCCATCTTCAGGGGTGGGTTGGCCTAACGTCTTGAGCACGGAACCGAGAAAATACCCATGCACCACCACCACCACCAGCACCAGCACCACTCCAACCATCCATCCCGTCCCTCCATCGGTAGCCTTGCAAGCTTGGGTTGGTTTTTGGGCCTGGAAAAAAGTGTTTCATTAACTGTGACTTGGGCCTGTTGACTGACGGGGTTTTTCCTCTTTTTTGCCTTCCCTCAAAAAATCTTTTGGTGCCTGCCAAAGAGAACCTTTTGTCTTGGCCGGAACAATGCTGCGCTGCTTATGACCTTTGACATTTTTCTGCACTCACAATGCGCCAGGGGCAAGGCAAACGCTACGTACGAGAGTGTGTGTGTAAGTCTTGCCCAAGTCTTGGATTTATTTATTGTATACCGTACATACAGCTGTACTTTGAGGCAGCTGCATCCACAATTGACGGGGTTTTTACGGCAGGGCAGAGCAGGGTGCATACGTATGTGTATAAGAAAACATTCTATTGCGCATAAGTAAATTGAACAGCTTTTGTAGGAAGCATGTAACAATGGATGGGATAGGAGGGAGGGTCGGTGTTGGTCCCGGTGGAAGGAAGTAAATCCAAACCCTGCGACAAAGACAAGTAGGGAAATGCGTAGATCCCAGGAAAACGTAGATTAAGGATTGTAAAAACTGTACCCTACCTGAGTGAATATTAATTATGGTGTTATTTCTCTTTACAGTTTCGAACATCTGAAGGCAAAGGACACCAACTTCGAGCAGCGGTACGCCAACCTCGGGAACATCTACTTCAAGCAGGGCGTCACGGAATTCAATTGGGACAGCAACGTGGATGATGCGCTCAGCACGGATCATTGAACTCGAAACCAAATATTAATGTTTAGCCACTAGATTTAGTCAGACACCAACTCAACCACGAATACAATATAGCAGAGTGAGGAGGAGGCAGCATAGACACAACCGAAGGACTTTACACTAGCGTCTAAGGATAATGTTAAGCCGTTTCGGCTTGTCTCATCTAAAACAAAAAACATGCACACACACACACACACACGCATATATGTATCTAAGAGCCCTACAAATAGTAAAGCAAAAATCTCCGTGTGCGCGTATTATAAATTTAAACCTAAGGCTACACTCAGAAATCTATGACCTATAACCGTACATACTCCTTGCTGATAAGTCGCACACACATACCATCGGACGAATTGTAAATACTTTTGCATAATGCATAATACGATATAATACCTACATATATATATTTTATAAATATGAATCGAGTTATGAGCCAGTGGGAGGGCAAACTCGAATTACATTTACACTGTCACTGCGCATCGACTACACGCCATAAACTAGATTAATTAATTAGTTTTAGCATAGTGCTCTTTTGTTTTATTGTTATGCCAAGTCTCTGCAAAGCCAAATCCACACGTAGTCTAAGCGCGTAGTGCTTGGAAAAATGTTCTCGATCCAATGACGCATTTATTTTATTTAACTGCTTAGACAACCCCCAGACCTCTGTAAATACCGCAGAATACTCTTACAAAAATGATTCAAAATAAAACAAAAATCAATTTTAACACGAGTAGAGAGGCGCACGTAACTGCTAATTTTATACAACTATTGTTTTGCCAAACAATTGAATGGCAAAGTGAGTTGTTAGCTGACATAATTGTTTCAGACAATAATTAATTGGAGATCGACACCAAGCAAAACTCGATTGATTGAATGCGACATTTGAATAAACAAAGCCAACGAAATACATATACAACAAAGAAAATTGCATAAATCAAAACAAAAAACCACAACATAACCCTGGAAAACCAAATGTAAAATATATTTCAAATATTGATTAATTAATTATGAGGCACGGCGCACAACAGTTGTGCCGTTTTATATAGCTACCAGAAGGGAAAATACCATGACATTGAATAATTCAAGCATCAAGCATGTTTCATGTACATTTTCTTTAGCATTTTCACGAATTTGCAGTGAGAGAACCACACAATCAGCATAATAACAACAAAGTAAACACCACACATACATGCAGGTCAAATTGAATAAAACAAATGAATCAATAAAATACACAACAGACATATCTATTTATTTGCGGGTCCATTTTCAAAACTTTCAGTTTAAAAAGGCGTTATTCATGTTTCTACATGAATTCTACATCATACTCAGCTCGTTAGCGCCCCCACCCTCTGCGGTACTTAAAAATATAGCATACTTTCAGGCTGTCGCGGGAATATTGGGGCTCCTGTATGAATATATGAGTCCTGAACAAGGACTCCATATGTTCCCCCAATCATGGAAAGCCAGATCGGTCGCTGCATAATTTAATTATTGTGGTGCTATTAGCTAAGACCCTAAGGACATACTTTCCCAGGACCTTGCGAATCTAGACTGTAGAATGACATCAAAATCTGGATTACGAAAATGAGGTAGATTTTTGGCAAATCTAACGATGCGAAAATCTCGAAATGCCACGCCCCGCTCGTCCCTTAAATAGTCAAGATGTTGACTACACAACTTGCGACCGCTCAAAACGTCGAAAACGGGAAATTTTAGGTCTGGGATACCAAGCGAACAGAAATCAGCAGCAAGCAACTTTAGCGATTGCAAACAAAATATGGTGCATACTTTTGGGGTTACAACGAATCGAGGGGGAAAAATAAATTTTTCATAAACGATTTTTCAGCGACCGACGTTCTGCTGATTTCTGTTCGCCTGGTATCCCATATTTAAAACACGCAAAAATCTCGGTTTTGAGTGCCACCAAATTGATAGTGGTTTCTGTTCCTGTAATCGGAATAACAGGCCCAGCCATATATATCCGGTTTTCTCAGCTATTTTTGATTTGATTTGATTGAAAAAATTGCACTTTTAAGGATCAAGGATATTTTCCCCAGTCTTTAGCTATCTTCTCCATTCATGGGCCTATCTGGGCGTGCCAGGGCTTCCTGAAATCGGAAAAATATCCTTGTTTCGATCAAGGATCATATACGTATATTTAAATGCAGCTTTCTTCTTTACGCTCTATCAAGGTCACAGAACCCACGATCAGCGCGTGGCATGTCTTTTCGGGATAAGAAGAGTTCTTCCAATCGATTGGCACCCGAAAGTTATAGTCATAGTTTTATAGAAGCCAGCTATTTATTTATTTTTTGGTATAATAAAACGACCTAATGTGTCTGTCTTCAAATCAAAATCACAAGTTGGGGAACCTTCCGAAGAATCACAGAAGGAATAAATCTGATATTCGATCTAAAGATCAACTTGGCCGTGACGTGTGAATCTCGTCATATTAATTATAGCTTCATAATATACATTATCTTTCAATCGATTCAATGATCAATGGAATTTTTTTTCTTGCCCAATTTTAATGACATTAAATAATTTAGATAGCTCTTTCCCATTTCGCAGGCAGCACACGTCATTGATGGTATAAATAAAAAGAAAACAATGCTAATAATAAGTCGTCACTCAGACTGGGCACAAATCTCCGACTAATTTGCACCAATTTGTGGAGACAACTAACCAGTAGAACAAACATCGTTTTCCCTTCAGTGATACTCGCATCAAAATATCCGATCGATGGAAAATTAGCAGAATCAGTGCGACTACGTTCGCCAAGGTGTCAGCGCGGTCTGGTCATGCCGGAATCGGAATCGAGTGGTGGTCCAAGCCGACGTAAGTCATCCGTTGCCGTGGACGTTGTGGAGCAGATCCACGGAAGCTTTGGGCGCTGGCAGTTGCGGACCATACTCCTGATCTTTCTCTGCAAGATTCCCAGCGCCTGGTTCATGGCCTGCATAATCTACACGGCCCCGTATCCCTGGAAAGGAGAGCTAGTCTGTCGTCCGTCGGACTGGAATTCCAGCGAACCACTGCCAGCGGATGACAGTCGAATTAACAATCTGTGGCAGGAGGAACGCAGCACAGATCGCCTTTTCAATGTGGATGTGTGTAACGCCTATGCCCAGACCCTAGCCCGAGGTTTTGTGAGTCGTCACGGGCAGGAGTGGAATGCCACTGCCTCGAAAGACGAGGCATCATCGTCATCGCTTCCCTGTGAACAAGTGGAGCACACAACGGCATACAAGTCGCTAATCACGGAGTTCGATTTGATTTGCTCGCGTCGTGTTCTGGTGGCTGTGACGCAATCCTTTCATGCTTTGGGGGCGCTCATTGGCGGTCTAATGGCCTACACGGCTCTGAAACGGTACGTACTTCGGATATTACTACAAAAGACTGATATTAATGGGTGAAATTCCTCCTCTAGCATCAGTCCGCGACGCCTCATGCTGTTGGGGATGCTGGGGCAGATCTTCTGCGGGAATCTTACGGGTCTGGTGGACACCTACCAGTTGCACATCTACTTCCGCTGCCTCACGTCCATATTCTGCGCTCTCATGTACACATCGGGGCAGTTTATATGTAAGTGGAGTTGCTGTCAAAATCAAAAGACCCAAGACACGAACTTACATCTTACCATCGCTCACTGCAGTGAACGACATTACCTCGGGACAGGCTCGGATTATAGTCATCACTTTGTCGGAGCTATTCTGGTCTATTGGACTTGTACTGCTACCTGGGATATCCATATATTTCGATGACTGGAGCTACCTCTATGTGGCCATTTCCTCATCCCTCATCGTACTTGTCTGGCTGCATCGCTGGATTGCGGATGCTCCCCGCTGGCTGTTGCGACACCAGCGCGTTGAGGCGGCACTGCGCCAGCTTCTGGAGTCGGCCACCTACAACAATCGAAAGGTGCCGCTAACCCTGGACGTTCAACTCACGGCATACGCCAAGGATCTGGAACTGATGGCCGAACAGAAGCGCAGCTACTGCCGAATCTGGGATGGCGAGACGAAGCGCAGTCAGCTGATCTACATTCATTGGATCTGGGGCTGCGCCATGGTCCTGTACAACATCACTCTCCTGATGATACGAAACCTGGGTGCAGCTCAAGTTCATGTGAACACAGCGGCCCTGGGATTCGCCGAGATGGTGGGCGTCTTTGTGGGTCTCTACATGATTCTCTATACGCGTCGCCATTGGCGCTGGGCAGGAAATCTGATGATTGCTGCTGGGCTCAGCACCTACCTGGTCTGGCTGCTGCCTGAAACTGGTAAGAAATCTATTATTTATTTCAATATCCCTGCCTGAAGTCATTCCTTCTCTGTAACTAGAACGAAACTCACGGCGCGTGGGACTGGAGCTCATCTTCTGGCTGATATTGAAGCTGGCCAACTCCGCCTCGATAGCCGTGCTCACCACCTGTACGGGGGAAATGGTTTCCAACGAGAACCGAGTCCTGCTGATGCTCTCGGTGGTGACGTTTAGTCGTCTATGCCTGGTCTTTTGCCCCTTCCTGAGCACCTTGACTGTGATACATCCGCTGGTGCCCATCACCATCATCGCCACCGTCGGCTGGATCTATGGCCTGGCCCTGAGACGCCTCAACCGTTACTACTGGAACACGGAACAGCCGCACATCAGCCAGGTGCCCACGCCCAACACCTACCGCCGTCACTCGGAGATGATTCTGCGTCGCTGCAGCTCCGCCAGCACAGAAGTCAGCGGCTTCAGCAACGAGCTGTTGACCAACTTTGAGCGGGATATGGCCGTCAGTATTGCCGATATCTGGCATATCAATTTCTATCCGATTGATATGTGCGACAGCCTGGCGGAGATGGAATTGCAGAAGAGACCGTCAGAGGCAGAGACAATTGATGCCTCAAAATCGCGCAGCTTGGAAACCATTTGAGGAGATTTCGGGCAGCCTATAAGTAGGCTTTGGAAAAGATACATTTTAGAGGGAGAAGGATGTGATGCACGATAAATTATGTCAGGCCTTGATATTATACTAGAAATTACCTTGAAAGTCTAGTGCCAAAATAGAGTTCTTTCTGTATTATAATAGGATACAACTTTGCTTTAAATTATTTTGTTGCAATAAAAACAATCATAGGAATTAAATGCCACCTAAAACACGCCTTCTTCTATATGTATGTATGTATCTATGTATCTACAGATTTCGCCACAAAAATCGAGGCTTGCCTAAAGGTAAAAGTAACCGGTATCAATCAAAATCCGAGCATTTGGCGTCACTGTCCGCTAATTAAATTATGAATCTTTCGTTTGTTTCGTTTCAAAAACGTATGAACTCAATTAGCAATCGACGTGATACGAGTTATAACAAATTAAACTAATTTAAACAACAAAATTATGATGATCGATGGCACACAGCACATCCTGGAGCAAAAGATCCACTAGGAGTATTCAAAATGGATTTATCAGAAGAGAACGAGAAATTAATGTAGGTCAATCGCAACTAAAGAAAGAACCCAACCATCGATGTGTCATTGCAAAAAAAAATAGAATAAAACAGCCACACACAGACTATAAAGATTAAAATAGAATCCGCAGAGGGCAGAACAAGTTGGGGACAAGTACTACCCCATCGGCAAACAGCTGATAACATAAAGAGAACAAAATAGTATTATTATGGCCCCTAAGCCATAACCCCTTTAGCGGAGGAGCTCTGGAGAGAGACCCCTTCTTACGGTGTCGCGC